AAACCGGACCACAGAATAGAATGGAATGCGGATAAAATAGGATGAATCCGGAGGTTTCCTTGGGAGACGAGGGAAAAAAATCGATCGTAATAATCCATTATTCAAGATTTCATCTTTTCCGGAATTTATTACACTTGACTGATAAAAAAAATGGTAAATTTCCATGTAAGAAATTTCACGATAAAAAGTACAATTGACGATTATTTCTTTATTTCTACTGCGATAAGGATAATTTACAAATCAACTTAAAACCCGTCAAATGTACTTCAATATGATGTACTGGATAGTTGATTGATCTTAATCAACTGTTTTTTTCCCTAAATTGGAATGAGTTATATGCCACTTTGAAGCCCCTGGAGCATGATTTGAGGTGCGCTATTCAATATTGAGTAGTATTACATAGGTCGTGAATAATTCATTGTGAAAGGCAAAATTTTGTCTTGCGTTACTTTTCAAAATTACTCTTGAATTGAAATTTACACTGTATAGGCATGTTTCAATGGGGACAGCTCATATACCATTTTGAAGAACTCCAGAAGAGCTTTCTAATGATATCTATACAGAGTCGATTCTGTCTATTGCATATCGATTTATAAGTGATTGAATGTATATTTTCGATTGTCACGCTTTCGACTTATGAACGAATTCAATGTACGATATTTCTTTGAGTTTTATATGGATTGTGATGATTTATAGCCTGATTCGGAGCCCTCGAAGTATGCTTCAAAACGATAATATATGGAAATAAATTAGGGCCTTGAAATCGATTTCTCACGGGGTGATCGGAGGGTGGGAAGGTGGGCATTTTTTTGTGAATTTAGGAAATTCTACGGAAGCCATGGAAGATAGCTAATTATTTCTCTCAAAATTTTCCATCTTTGATTTCACTCATCTTTTAGGAGTGTTTTTAGAAATGTTTCTGTAAATTCGGAATATTAGGCATGATTGCAAACAGTCCCCTGAGACGCTGATGCATCTTTTGCCAGCTTCTCCGATATATATGCAATCACGAGTTACACCCATCGGCATAATGCGGCTTTGCGAGTGGTCTATTATCACCTCCGGCATTTTTATGGGATAGACAGAACGCCGACGCTGCCTTATGCTCCGAGAGATGTTGAGTCTGTTTTAGATTTACTGGATTTACTGGAACTTCTTATTCGCGACTAAGAGACCCGTCGCTGCGACAAAGCCTGATATTGTCCTCTTCGACTTTGAAGACAACTCATCTATGTCATTGAGTTTTCGGCTCCGACTAAAAGCAATATATCGGCAAAAGAAGAGGACAAGCGGCTCAAATATCAACCTCTCCTGTTTGAGCTATATCAGCTGAATCGGGGGGTCAGGGTCTGGCTAGTTGTCCTGATTATTGATATGGTATATACATGAGCCTGTAGGCGAATTGCTGTAATATTGGCTAGGCAGATGCAGAAGGTTCATCCTTGGGTCTCTCCGGCTACTTAGGCAGCACGACTCTGGGTTGCAGTAGAGCTTACCCTCTGGTTGAAGGGAGCGCTACTGCAGTGTGATTAGGACTATTTTGCATCGCTTAGCTTACTGAGCAGTCTTCGAGGTAACGTCGGAGCTCTCGAGGACCGTCCAATAATCTCTTTCATGAGAAAAAGATGATGATAAATTATTATCATTATTTCATTTTATTAATAAAGCTACTAGGCACGGCCCCGTTTTGCTTGCCAAGCCTGGTTTACTAATCACTTGCCAGGCATATACTGACTCAATCAAATTCCAGGCAATAAACACTGGGCCAAATGTTGGCAGAACAATGCTGCACCAATTTTTGGTTTGACTGACATAACAGTGGGCCAGTGATGTTCTACCAATTCTTCAATAAACTTTGGCCAAGATTGGTATATCAGCGCTTGACCTTCCAGTACTTTGCGAAGACTTGACTATCAATTGATTATCTATTCATTGACAAACCAATTCTTAGCCCTGCACCGACCCATGCTTGGTGGCTAATTATATGAACGCCATGCTTCAGCTAAGCTTAGACCCAAGCAACGAAGTTTGGCAAATCCTACTTGAGTAGTGGATGGTCACCCCGGTAGAGATCGGAAGCCGCCAAAACGTGCAGCGATATTGACCGAAGATGGCCGAGAGTGAACTAGCGCGAACATGACAAACAACTGTTTCTCCGGGATTTTTTCCCATGAATAACAACGAAGTAACCGAAACTTTTATTTTTTTCGAGAAATCGCCAAGATACTGCCACGTGCCTCGAAAAAATGTGGCATCCTTTCTTATTCATTGCTATTAAATCCGATCGGTGGAACTTTCAGAAGCCCCAGGGGTATAAAATGGTAGAGATATGAAAATACTAAAAGGAAGGTACATCAAATTGGCAATGCTAAAAGTAAATACTGCGTTATTTGCGATATCAATCTGCTATTCCCTTACCCGGAATAATCTACGAGTAGCGGTACATTCCTTTTGTTTCCATAATGTGTGTTGTATCTTGAAAAAACAACGACCTCTTCATCCGTCACGTGGACCAAGAGGCGCCTCAATTCCCCCACTTTTTTGTTATC